CCCCAAAACCCCAAAACCCCAAAACCCCAAAACCCCAAAACCCCTCAGTCTAATAAAATATCGAATATATAATAAGATTATTAAGCTAACATGGATCCTAACTCTGGGAACTCCTTTAGGAACAATTTCTATTCTTTAAGGAGAGCTAGTTTCATGAACTCAAACTTACAATTTCAGGCTTCTCAATTGAGTTCTAAGGTAATTAAGCATACATAGCAACTCTGTTCTAGTGTTTCCCCTAAAAATTATTAGGCCGGCAAAGGACATCCACTTTGGTCCTAGTGCTGTGCTCTCTATTGTCAGCAGAGGATGCTTTAACCATGCTATAGATGACTCCTAGAAATCCATCAGTCAAATTCGAGAAGTCTGGAGAGTTCCTTCAGATCTCTATTAATGGTCCTCTCACTAAGAAAAGAGGAGATTTTAGAAAGAAGTAAGGATACAGCCAATTTTATTCTGATAGGTCTTCGAATTTACAGCAAATGAAGGATCTAGAGAAGATAGTCAATAACGAAGGCCTTGATATTGACGATGACCTGGAGCTTAATGAAGAAGATCTACAAAAATTAGGTATATCTCAGATCAAGCCAATAAGGCATCTCATTGTATTATTAACGAGCTATTAAAGAGTTTAATACATTATGCATGAAGTGGTTGAAAGTTTTATCTCTTCCTTGGAAATCCGCTATTATGATTTAGGCAAAAATAAGATTATGACAACTGATCTAGGTTAATTTAATTAGCATTTCTTCCAAAAAAAATTGTCGAAGTAGCTTGTTCCTTAAAAGGGGAAATTTTAATTTGATAAAAAGCTAACCTGCTAACGAAAAATTACAACTTCAAATCATATTTACTAAAATCTCAGTGACAAATCCAAAGATGGAGCAATGTAAAAATCCAAGCACTTTTAATGAAGATAACTGTCATATTTAAAAAATTAGGATCAGTTTAGTTAAAACTCAACAAAAAGAATATTAAGGCTAAAAATCTAAGAGTGAAACAAATTTCAATAAGGCTCTTTAAAAATTAGATACCACTTTGGAAATTAAAGAAATATTTACCTTCAAGGTCAAAAGAAGCCATAAGATGTGTGAACATCTAGAAGCCTTCTGGATAATAATGAGAGGATAGCAATAACAAAATCTTCAATTTATATTATATTAGGATGGGCAAGACCTTTTAAGTGGATTTAGCTACTGTGTTAGCAATTAACTACACTTCGAAATATACAAAACAAATTTACACTTCACCTACACTTGTTTCAATATACACACATTCAAAATCTAGATATGATAGCAAACCAATCAAACTGCAACTATTTACCACCGAGCAACAGCATGCAAAAATGGATGAACGAGATGCAGAAAGAAGACAAAACTCCTGGAATTCTGACTAGTTCTACATCAAATCTAAACAGCCTAAAGAATCTTCATCAAGAGTTTAAGCCATCAATAATTGAAAGGTTTGCGCCTACTCCCTCCTTTATAAGAACAAGGTCGTACAACCAGAATAAATCTCCTGCTAAAATTCAGATGAATAAAGCAGAGGAGCCACCAGCAATGATTGATATTCCTAGGAAAGAGAAAGCAGTTGTCGATCTAGAAGCAGAAAAGTCAACTTCAACCCCAATGGTTTCTAAAATGCCAAAGAAAAGGGAAGAAAACAAAAAGGCTAAAATGTCTAATAAGCCTGAGATTTCTACTTCGACAAAACCAGCTGGTCTTTATTATGGGAAGCATACAAATGCTAGAAACAAGCCGATCAAGGGCAAGCATTCTGAAAGGAGAGATGTTGTCTACAAGAACATCCTCAGAGCGGTTAAGACATTCCTCAATGAAGATTTTAAAAAGGCTTCAGGTGGCAAAAAGTCATTCTCTTCATGCTTTGCTGCTTTCTTAAAATCTTTACCTGACATCGCAGCGAAGATACCTAAGATATTCGGAAGAGGCACAACTGGAGAACATAACTTTAAGCAAGCGATGCTTGTATTTCTCGGAGAGAAGTGTTATCTTCATGAAAAGACCAAAGACACAAAGATAGTTGAAAAACAATTGAAGAAATGTGTGAAAACTTTTACTATAAATTCATACACTAGCTTGTTCAAGTTCAGAATAATCCAACAAATTTTTGAACTTCTTCTAGACTCAAGATACATCCATACAATTATAACCACCAGAGAAAACATGAAAATCAGCGAGCCCAGATACCTCGAAGCTGTCTCTTCCATCATTGCCTTCCAAACCCATCCTTCACTAATGAAATAACCCCTGTAAATCCACCTATCAGTAAAATTTGGACCATTCTCAACCTACCATTTCACCCTTGGGGTTTTGGGGTTTTGGGGTTTTGGGGTTTTGGGG